ACAGATGATCGAAACTATTCTACTGATCGAGGTCATCTGCACCCTCATCATCTTCATCCTCTTCGGCCTCTTCCTCAATTGCCTGAACAGTCTCCATCCCCAAAGCCCGCCTACATTTGGCTAGTTGGACCTTCAAGGCGTTCAGGTGACCAAGGTGCAGACCAGGGAAATCGGACAGCTGCACTGGCCGGCCTAATTGTTTCTCTAGGAGGGGGAGAAGCGGCTACAACATGTGCTAGCACCCGGAGCCATAGACCTCCCGGGCGAGGGTTTTGGCAAACCCTTTGGTAACCGAATGCTGATCAAGCATCCTCACCCCCTCCTTTTGGCGCTCTTCGCCAGTCAGCTTGGCTAGGTGCCGCCCGAAGACATTGGGAAGCTGTTCAAAGGCATATTGTTCCTTCAGGGCCAGGAATTCTTCAGATTCCTTGAAGCTCTCCCGGACGGCGGAAAGATCAATAATCATTTCAGCAAGGCCGTCCGGGATCTGTGAGGGTGCCTCTTGGAACTGGACCTGAGCGGCCTCAGTTGCTGCAATCTTGGCCTGGAGGGAGGCCACCTTGATGCGAAGCTCCCCAACTTCGGCCTTCGTCCTCTTCCGCTCCTCGGCGAATGCCAGCCGTTCGGTCTCAGCTGCCTGGATGGCAGAGGAAGAAGCCTTCTCAGCATTCTCCTTGGCCACGAGCAGGTCTCTCTCCTTGGCCAGCCGGGCCTCGCGAAGCTTCAAACTATATATCCCCACCTGCACACGGTCAATCAGAGATAATAAGGTGAACGCGCGATCAGAAAATGAAACATGGAAAAGAAACTGAGGTGAGAAATTACCTTGAGGGCAGCCAAGGCTATGCACTCCTCGGCTTCCTCGGCCGGGAGTTGGGGAAGGGCGAAGTCGTTGAGATCAACGGAGGTAGACCAAATCCGGCTTGCCAGACAACCCCCCCCCCCCCCCCCCCCCCCCGCTCCAACATATGATGAGCATGATCCTGGAGGGAAATCCGCTGGAACTGCCTGACCAGGTCAGATTGGTGAGCAGCCATTTCATCAGCAGAAAACTGGTTAGGTTGCTGATCAGAGAAGAACTGATCCATTAACAAATCAGCATGGGAAGGTTGCTGACCAGGAGCAACCTACTGAACGGGGCTGCACCTCCTGAACGGACTCAGGTTGCTCGGAAGATGGCGGAGCAGCTTGAGAAGAAGTTGCCGGGTCGGCCTTCCTCAACCTCTTACGTTTATTTTTCTTCTGCTGGGCAGGAAGAGAGACCTGCGGCTCATCATCCACTCCAACTGAAAACAGCCTGCTGTCATCCATAGTTATTGGCTACTGGTTGGCTCCTTCGGACTCCAAAGATTCGTCTGAGTTGAGAACTAAAACAGACAAAGAAAAAAACAAATTAGTACCGAGCGACTCCAACATGTGTGAAACAAAGGATGGAAGTGTTCCCGCACAGGATGGACCGCCCGAGCCATGGTACTTGTCAATATCAAGTAAACCCAGGAATTCGGGCAGTACTTATCCTGGCCTTGGCAAGCTGTTCGGGGGTCAGGTAATCCATTATGTCATAAACCTTCCCCTTTTCTATTGCCACCACATCCTCACCCATTTCCTCAGAAATAAAGGGTTCAGAAGATTTTCTGGGAAAGGCATTCCACTTCGTGGGAATCAGACCCTCCGGCACGGAAACGAAGAAAAACCGGTCTTTCCATCCCTTGATTGACGAGGGAAAACCGGAAAACAGTATATGCCCCGTTCGGGCACTGGCTACCAGATAACCCTCCGCCTATTGAGGGATAACTGTGTAGAAGTAGTGAAAAGGTCTAAGGTGGGAGTCGCCCCGACATCCGAATAGCGACTGATGAAATCGGCCATAGCCCGGTAGGAGTTTGGCATAATTTGGGTCGGCACCACTTCATAAAAATTTAAAAGAGAGACAAAAAAGGGGTGAAGTGGGAATCTAAGCCCAGCCTTCACCGAATCAAAATGGACCACCACCATCCCCGGAAGATGACACAGTGGATGAAGCCCAGATTGAAGGCGGAAATTAACCGGGTCCGGGATCAAGAGAGGGATTAAGGCCCTATTCGGGCCTGTGAGCTTTTGTCGTCGAAACCTAATTAGGTTTAAATCGATCCTATGGCGTGGGACATCCCCTGAAGGGCCGGCTTCCATAAGTTCAAGTTCATCCTCTGACGTGGTACCATCCGGGTATGTACTAGGTGAAGAGGCATTGTCGCCGTGAGTACCGCCGATGACCTCCACATTGGCATTTACCATCTCTGGTACTTCTGCTTGAGCCTTTTGTGAGGAAGTTGCCTCGAGGGTGGACTTACTGGAACGCGGTCGAGGAGCCATGATTGCCGAACAAGAAAGGAAAGGGAAGGAAAAAGGAAAAAGGGTACCTAAACAAGAACAACTGAAAAGCTCTAGAGAGAAGGCAGAGCAATAGGCCAGAGATGCAAGGTTTCGAAACCCAGAATCAAAGCCGGAAAAGCCTATTTATACTCTGTCACACCGAATCGTTGGCCAATCATGGAGATACACGTCGCCAGTAATGATGACTGGGACACGTGTCACGCGGAGAATCCTCCTCAAGTAATCATGACGGTTATCGGGGAATTAAAACGGCAGCCGCAGAAAACCGTCAAGATATGCCTCGGGAACTGGCGGAATACCATCCAATACGTACCCGAACAGCATTCACTATGGTTTGGGTAGTTCACTCACTACCGTTCGAGACATAGGAAGTGGGGGACTAGTGTTGGGATATTGGGTCCAAGCCAAATATCCCCGGCCCGAAGTATGAGGAATCCAGAAGGAAACATAAGGCCCAAAGCAGACCAGACCCGTTCGGCATTCGGCACAATTCTTCTACTTGGAGCATTTCAGGAAAACACTGACTCCTAAAACAACAATGGCGGGGTCCCGCACACCGAACGCGCCACCCGAACGGGTAGTCAGCAAGTGGAGGCCGCATTTAATGCAAAAGCATGGCGGCAGCAAGTGGGGGCATGGGTGCCTACGTGGCAGGGGTGGCAGCCTACCGGATTCAGCCACGTGTCCAGCTTACCCATCCCCATTTTAGTATAAATACCTGCATTAAGATCATTGTAAAGGGTTAGCATTTTGATACTCAGAGCTTAGCAAGTAGAAACACTTCTCTTATTCTTGTATTCTTGTACTTACCTACCGTTCGGGTAGTTCAGTGTAATTGCAGCATTATTGAATACGAGTTAGCTCCTGAGTTAAACAATCTTTCATTGTTTTATAGTTTATACACTTTCTAAACCAACCCAACATCCTTACAATATCCAAAGCTTGTGTTGGGCTTTCGGATCTTCGGGAATAAACCTCAAAAAACTTTTACTTTCATAGATCAGATAAAAAATTGATTCCAATTAGATAGGTGAACACAAATTTGAGATAACATTAAGGCAAATATGTATTTAGCAAATTTAACATGCAATCTTATTTTTTACCCAGATATAAAATATTTTATCTTTTTCAGTTTTATTATATGTAAGAAAAGTATTTAATGGTGTCCCTTCTGCTCCATGCATGACATCTAAAGAGCACGGGTTACCGGAGAAAGATGCTAATATATCTAATTCAATAGTCATAGCACCAGGTGTTTATGTAAAAAATATTGCGTAACATTTTTGGACATCAACGGTACCGCTATACGGTGATATGAGACACTCGGCTTTATAGATGTCATATTTGCTGCTTCAACCAAAGAAATGATGAAGTGAAAAAGTGAATATGTGGATATGAGCGTCTTTCAAATAAAAAATAAAGAAAGTAACAAATACAAATCTTAAGCACAATCTAAAAGACATAACATAATTGTGTAAATCAACCGGTAAATAAATGCTAGCATTACTATGGGCTCATCGAAAACGTTATCTAGTACATTGAAATTTAAAGCACTTTTACTTCCCACAAGGGCACAATCAGGATTTTCCACTAAGCCAATGCCCTCGAGAAATCGTATTGCCGAGATGGTTAGAGAAAAATAAGGATCGAGGTATTCTAAACGGTACTCGAATGTTATTTACGCTAAAATTACAACCAAAGTTGACATATTTAATAGATTCGAAGTCTTTCAAAATTACGCCCTTAGTCTATTAAAAAAAATTCCAAGTTGACCGACATGGAAAAAGAAATAACAGGAACCGTAAATTAATTGATTATTATGAGACTGACAAATTTATTGGGACAATAAAAAAGTTACAACACTTCAATTTTTTTTTGAAATTGCTAATTTTGTATTTTGTATTTTCTATATGCAAAATTAGTGTCACATGAAAGATAATAAAAAGTTATAAATTTTGAAATATTTTTTGTAACAATTCGAGTACAAATAAAAAAGTTACAATAGTTTAAAATCTAGAGTGGATTTTTATTAGGTGGGACCCATTATTCGATTCATCTACTGGCTGTGCTTATTCTATCTTTTGGCTAATTGGCTGTGCGTGATTCTTTGCGTCGATTGTATGCATGGCGGTATGCTTAGGCAGCCACAGAGGGGGTTTTGTTAATCATGGTTTATTCCAATATTATTTTGATAATTATTCTCAACATAATACTTTCTCCGTATTTTAAAGTTTGTTACATTTTTCTTTTTCGGATGTATTTAAAAGTTTTTTGTACTTTTCCTTTTTGTACGTTTTTCTTTTAAAAATATTTAATTATCCTTACTTTTTTTACCTTTTATCTTCTCTTTCATACTTTTTCACCATTTCTCCTACTTTTTTCTACACTATTCATCACTCCTACTATTTCACCTTTAAATGTTGTGCCCAACCCTATTTTAGAGAACAAAAAAATACCAAGAAAGTAGTATTTTGAGATTTATTTATTTAATTAGCACTATTCTCGTAAAAAAAACTCCTAATCTTAGAGCTAAAAACCCCTTTCTCACTTTACCAATAGTATTTAAATTAAATTTATTTACATAAATTTAATTTATTCTTGAAACTGGGCTACTGTTACTCTGTTAGCTCTTAGACGCGTATATCAGCACCGAGATGGGAATGCAAGCCCAGGCGGCATCCATTGATTTCCTGAGCAATCAGACTCAATTGGATGATGAGGAGCCACTGCTACTCACCGGCGATGTCAAGACCGGTCTTGTGCTCATCGACGTCGTCAACGGATTTTGCACAGTCGGAGCCGGCAACCTGGTAAAGCATTATATACCCATATTCCTCTGCCCCAAATGCTATTGGTGCTTATTTTTCATGATTTTGGCTCTTCATTTTATTTGAGAGCAGAACCTTCATCATGTACCCAAATACTACCTCCCCTCTCATAATGGTCTTCGGAACACCCCATCTCTTTAGTAATGATATGAAAAGAACCTGAGTAGGAGGACCAGATCAAAGCCTACCCTAATTAAAATACAAATGGATAACTAATAGCATCAAGCTTAAGGATTCCAACAAAATGTTTAAAATGATCATTGTTTAGTATTTGGATTCAAACTTTAGTTTTTTTTAATATATAGCTTGTGATGAACATCAGTTGACTCTTAAAATGTTAATATATTGGTGCATGTCATATATTTTAATTACAAATGATGGTGTTTTTGTATAATACGCTTTTGTTAGTTTGGGACGTCCCGAACCGTTCCAAATCACCCCGGTTTCTATTTAAATGGGACAAGACTAGGACAAAGGCTTGTCCCGTACCGTTATTATTAATTGGGTTGGGACTGGTATAACCCTAATCCCGAATTGTCCCGACCGGTGCCCACCCCTTATTATTATGCTTTGGTAGTTACACTTATACAGTTATATACTTATATGCAGTGAAGCTATACATGCATACGTTCATAATGCATAGCTTATCTCGAGTTGCAGGAACAAATGAACTATAATCCGTGAAAAATATTGTCTATAAAAAAATTGTTACGTTGAACAACAATTCGCTTTATTTTCTGCGCTTTTTTATTTGTTGGAATGCTTTAATGTTTCTTCTTTAGTATTCATTACTTGGAAATTATTCTATAATTTCGTGTTTGTGTGAATGCTTTGTTCACTAGGCTCCACAAAAACATGATGAACAAATAGCTGGAATGGTGGATGAATCAGTGAAGCTTGCTAAAGTGTTCTGTGAAAAGAAATGGCCGATTTATGCTTTCCTTGACAGTCATCATCCCAACATCCCTGAGCACCCATATCCTCCTCACTGCATAATTGGAACTGATGAGGCAGAATTGGTTTCTGGTAAACTCTATCTGCCGATTTGTTTGACCACTCCACATTGTTGCTAAATTTGAGTTTCCTTTGAGTCTCATTTGGTATGCCAGGAAAATGCTAGGGGAAGAAAAAAGGGTTTAAAATACATTAGGAATTTAGCTGGAAAGAAAATGTTGATGTATATAAAGATTAAAGCATTGCTTCAAACTCAATAAATTTATTTAATTATTCACTTTTCACTTTTCTTTGCATTTCTGGAGGTAAATCCAAACATTAGAAAATATCTTTCCTTGGCATTTTATTTACTTTCCCTAGCATTTCTTGGGATCCAAATACAGCCTTAATATATCTGTTTTCAAACAATGTGCAGCTCTCAAGTGGCTGGAGAATGAACCTAATGTGACGATTAGGCGTAAGGATTGTATTGATGGATTCGTCGGTTCTCTTGAAAGTGATGGCTCCAATATATTTGTAAATTGGGTGAAAAGCAATGAGATCAAAGCTGTGAGTATTTTTTGTGCACCTGAAAGAGGGATATGTTTTATGTCCAATTGCTTATTCATTGATGTGCAATATTTCTGACTTGTACTTATTATCAAGATATTGGTCGTGGGAATATGCACAGACATATGTGTTCTAGATTTTGTCTCTTCAGCGTTATCTGCAAGAAATCATAGGGTTCTCTCCCCGTTGAAAGATGTGATAGTGTATTCACGTGGCTGTGCTACTTATGATCTTCCAGTTCATGTTGCTAAAAACATCAAAGGGGCCTTGGCTCATCCCCAGGTAAGCTAAGCTTAGCTCAAGAGTTGGAAAAGGGGGGAATTGGAGCTTGCACCCCACCTTTTCATCTAAATTTGAATTTGCACCCCAATTTATTTAAATGACAATATCACATCCCAAATCTCCAAGTTTGCACCCCTTGTTAGTACTGAATTAGAGTTTGTACTCCATTATTATCAGATTTTTATTACTTAGGGGTGCAAGTATTAATGATTTAAAAATTGGGGTGCAAACTCAAGTTTAGATGAAAAAGTGGGGGTCTTAACTCCAATTTAAGTACCTCTGACCCAAACCTAGACAAATTCAGGACATTGGTTCTGTATCCCAAATTCTCAATCCTTAGCTAATATTCCTCACTTCCTAGAGAGAAAACTGGTTTAAAGGAAAGTCACTTATTGTCCTTCAGCTGGTACCCATATTGAACTATAGTCCCTCCTCTTCTATTATGTAAATGTCACCCCTCAATTGTCTAAGATGTTATAAATTCTTCCCTCGACGTTCTAAAAAAAGTAGCACTTTCGGTCTCTTGGTTAATAACGTCGAGAACGACATTTACATTATTTTAGACAATAGACTGATGCTATTTACAAAATTGAAGAGACGTCAACTACATTTAAATATGGGTATAAACTGAGAGCCAAAAGTGGGGTTTTCCTTTTTTTATTTTATTTAACAAAGCAATGCTTCCCTAAACTTAGTTATGCAATGTAGGAGTTGATGCATCACATAGGGCTATACATGGCAAAGGGAAGGGGAGCAAAGATAGTTTCACAAGTCTCACTTGGGACTCCACATTAAACCTGATCATCAGTTTTTCAGGAATTCAGTTTCGTATAATTGAAGAGGGATACTTCTCCTTCTGCACAGATGTTTTAACACCTGTTTTGTTGTCCCTATCAATCTAGCATAAGATGTATACACACATACTCCATTATGTTTCCTTAATATTTGGAGAATTGCTATCATTAAAGTTACTGTCTAACAATATGAGATCTCAAATTTACTATCTTAATGTTGGTTAAGATACTCTTCATATTATTTGAACATCCAAGCATAACGAGAATTGAAAAGCGGATCTCTTATTGGTCAAGTCTGTGTAACTATCATGGAAGTGTGAAGCGTTAGGAATGCAAAATGTGAAAAATGTTACCTACTCTCACTACAGAAAAACTTTACATGACTTGTAATTTGAGTATCCAATTCTGTTGAAAAGTGTGAAAAAGAAAAGGAAAAAGATCAAGAAAGAAACAAATGGTTGCCTTCTATATACATATATATTTATAAAATGTGAGGCTATATGAGGAGAATGCGTTTGAATGCCAAATTGAACTTAAAGATCTACAACAGCTCTCAAGACCTGGTACTTTTTGTTGGGGTGAATGCATGAAAAAACTGATTTCTTTTGTTTCTTTGGTTTGTTCCCAAAAATGAATGATCCTAGAGGAATTTTAGATCGACTTGATGAATGTTTCAGTTGTGAGTTTCCGCTAGAAAGCCCAAATTCATGACCCAACTTCTTGAGTGTCTTCTCAACCTCCAGTTGAAGTATGGTGACATGATCCACACCTGTTTGCAGTTCCTCTCTGACCTTGTTGTTTTCTTGCTTCATGTTCAGGACCTCACCTTGGAACTTGGCTGCTTGATGACTGCTGAATTGGATTTCTTCGCCTTCCACTCCTTCCCTTAGGGCTCTTGTGATTTCCTCCTGAATGTGACACAAAGACGAAAACCTGCCTTTCAGCTCATCCTTTAGCAACACACTTTGGTCTAACCACACTGTCAGCTCAGTGTGTATCTCCCTAAGGTGTTTGAATATGGGCCGAACCTCCGATCTTAGATCTTGTGAGTGACCACTGCCTTCTGCAGTTTTCTTTTCTTTGACTTTGGATAACTCATGCTGCAAGTCTTGTACAGTAGTCTTGAATTTTTGTATCTGATGAAATGAAGAGCTGAACCTTAACCAGAAATCCAGATTTTCATCTAGAATTGCATCAATTTCCACGCGGAGCTTTTCTTCAACAGGGGAGATGTGAGCAGGTTTGTTCATCAAGGCTGGCAATATGAAACAATCTTCACCATCTTTTGTCAGAGGAGGACTCTCTATATCTTCTTGCCTTCCTTTTGAGGAATCGAGGTTTGATTCTGGTTCTTCCTTTGGTTCTTTTTTTCCAGGACAATCTGCTGAAAAAGAAATGTTCGCTCTCTGATGTAACTGTTGAATCTCCTCATCCCTTTTTGCGATTGCACTTTTTAATTCACTTATTTGCAAAGTGAATTCAAACTCGTTGTCTCTGTCCTTCTTCTCCATTTCTGCCAACTTCTTTTTGAGATCTTTGTAATTCCTAAGTACTGTTGTATACTCTTTTAGTATAAATTTTTCTTTGTCTCCCATCCCAGTTAACATCTCGTGCCAATTTTGCTCTTCATCCATATCCAAATTTATTTTCTGCTCATTTTTGGAACCCCTATCTTCAGATTGAGGTGAAGTACTTGTCTCAACCAGCATTCTATCCACAGGCGATAAGTGTTCACTCTGTGAGTTTTTACCTTCCTCATCTTTTTTAGTAACAGCTGCGTTGGAATCTCCCTCAACTTCCTCTTCCCCTTCTTTTCTTTCACTCTTGGTGGAGGGTAAGGCACATTCGGCGGAACCTTCTATAAGGTCTGTTTTCTTTACAATGTTTTGATCTGGTTGAAACCCCTCAACAACAGATTCTGTTTCACTCTGTGGTGAATATGTATCCCCGTCCTCGTCCTCATCCTCGTCCTCCTCGTCTGGTTTCACATTATTTAGTTTCTCAGACAAATGGCTTAAATTATCACATGCCACATCAATGTGTTTCCTAAGCCTGCTGCTATGATTTTCAAGGTTTTGGTTTAGGCTCTGAATGTCCCTCCACTTGTTCTCTATTTCTTTAACATGGTGATTTTCTTTGGAAGTGGTTTCTGTATTGTTGTCTCCCTCCAACCTTCGGACAGTTGCTTGAAAATCATTGGCTTTCTCTCTCAATCTGTCAACTGTGAGTGTTTGGGTAGAAACTATGTTTTCTAGGTCTACCACTTTGTTCACAAGCTCATCAATCTTCTCAACTAGTTCAGTGACAGTCAAGGCTCCTGTGGGGTCCCCATGATCAAGCTGTTCTTCCTTGATTGATTCTTGACCAGAGTTTACTGATATGGAAGTGAGTTTATCACTTTCCTTCATTTCATCACTGTCAGTTTTGAGCGATCTCAGCCGCATGCGAGCATAAAAGTCTTTAACCTTCATGTATTCTTTTTCTGCATCCTGTGACACTCTCTCGTGCTTCTCCCGCAATTGGGCCAAGGTCTCACGGCACGATTTCAGGGCGGTTTCGGCCATTAACGTGCGTGCTACGTCATCTTCAATAGCCGTCCTCACATCAAACTCGTCCTGCAAAGCGCAAACCCTCTGCTGCATCTCTGAGATCTGGTCCTCAATTCCCCTGCACTTGGCCAGTCCAGTCTGGTACGAGCTCTTCACAAACTCTTTAGTGGTTTGTAGCTTTAGTATCTCCTTCTGAAGTTTGTCAATCTCTTCAGTGGCTTGTGTGATGGTGAGCCCAGACTTGGGAGGAGCTTTCTTCACAACCTCCAGTGCCGCTGCTGGTGGCTTCTTTGGCTGAAGCTTGTTTGGGACAGTGGCTGTTGTTATGAACACCTTCAGTTTCTTGCTTGGAGCCTTGGGTATGTTTTTGGCATTTTGGCGTGGGAAGGGCTTGCGCGGTTTCGGAGAGCAATATTCCTCATCTTCGTCCATCTCTAGCTGGAACTGTTCAGGACAGAGAGTGGCGAGCGTATGGTTTGCGTTCTGCAAATCCTTGGATAACTTGTCATACCTCTCTGCCAGTGATCTAAAACCTCTGTAAGATTCTTCCACAAAGTTTATAAGCTCTGGCCTTCTCTTGTAATACATTTCTGCTCTTTTTGCGAATGAATCCCCATCTTCTTGAATCAAAACAAGCATGTGATGGACCTTTTCTTCCATATCTGCATTAGTTATACTATCATAAGACCTTGGTTGTCATGCTCTTTATAAATACTAGTTATACTTTTATCATAGTTGTTAAATCAAACATTACTACTATTCAAAATTCAATTTTAATATTATAGATATTTCCAAGCCCCAAATATAGGGTCTAGATCTGCTACTTCAGGTACCCATCGCCCCTAGGCCTATGTAAAGTTAAATATAGCTAAAACTTGATTCTAGAGCCAGTATAAAGATTTTTTAGAGGAACATTTACACATGAAGTTTTACACTAAAAATGCAAACAACTTCAAATTTGGGATGGATCAGGGCCTGGTTGACCCCCCCCCCCCTCTATCTCCACCCCAGCCCGTGAAATCGCCTCAAGGCCTAAGTGGAGTTATATTGAGTTTGTCTTGCATTGAAGAAACACGCCCCACGCCCTAGCACAACTACGAGTGCCACCCCAGAAATCCTAACCCCAAAGGGAATAAGTAGGTATAAGAACATTCACCCTTCAGAATCTTTAGTGTGACATCTCGCCTACTAGATTAGTGCCATGGGGGTGTAAATTATGTGATTCACACTAATGTCTAATGTGGATTTGGATCCTCTGCCGCACGGCAGAGGTGCCTTGCGCAATTGAACAACAACAGGAGAGGAGAGCTTTGGGGAGGGGGATGGCAGATCACGTGACTCTAATAGCCACGCACCCTACTTGGCTGCTAAAGCCAGGTAGAGAATCGAGATCCGTCCAATGTACAAAGTAGTTAGAGGATCCCAATGTTGAATTTAGTTTATATAAAAAGGGAAAATAACTTTAAATAATACCAACTATTTGTCATAAACCAATAATAATATATACTTTAGAAATAGTTTCTAATAATAAGAGCTATTTGAATGTACACAATAACAACATCCAAAGCCTTGGTCCCAAAAGATTTTGGGGTCGGCTAACATGAATCGATACATGATATCAACACCAAAAGGAAAAGAAAGAAAAGAAAGATAAAAAGACAAGCTATGATAATAAAAAGATAATATAAAAAGAGATAGATATATATATAAAAGAGAATAAAAGCGATAAAAAAGAAAATTTATATATATAAAGAAAAAAAAATAAAAAACAAGAAAAAGAAGATGAGGGGAAAACGATAATAAGAGATCACTCCACCATATGAATGTTTGCCCTCCACTTTGCTCTCTCCAAATTCATACTCTCATCCAACCCAAGAAGAAGCATATCATTTTTGACTCCTCTAATCCATGTCTGCTTGGGTCTTTCTCTCCCTCTCTCCTCCGTCTCTTCTCCACACATTTCAACTCATCTGACAGGTGCATCACTCGATCTTCTACTCACATGACCAAACCAGCGCATGCAAGACTCCCACATCTTATCACATTTGAATATACATCAAAAAAATTATGGAGCTCTTTTTACTACACATCCAAACATTTATCTCATCAAAATAATAATATTGAACAATCAAATATGTAGTAAAAGGTATCTTGACATGGGGTCACTTATTTGATATTATGATATAATTTTGATGAGTAAATTGGTCGAATTTCTAGTAGAAAAGTGGTGATATATCACTTCTATATATTCAAATAAATGGTATTACTAAAAGTTATTTCCAAAGTAATATGTATGTATTATTATTGATTTATGGGTGATAGTTGATACAGTATTATTTAAAGTTATTTTCCCTATATAAAAATAATCACATTTTTTTGGAAAAATATAATAATCACATATTGAAAAATGGTATATGTTTATTTAGATGAAGTTTAATACGAAGTATATTGCATCTATTTATGAAAAATGTACAAGTATAATGTTTTGTCTTGTTATAAATTATTTATGTTGTAGATGGCGAGATTACAATGTAAACATTGTAATTAATAGTAACATTACAATGTAAACATTGTTATTAATGTTGGAAGTACATGTGACTAATGTGAAGATGTAATATTGTTTGGGGCTAAGTATTATATGTTGGTGTAAATGTCGTTTTAGATGTCATAAATACATGTGACAATGTGTGACTATAACACTGTTATTTTTTATTTAAAAGAGTTATGTTTGGTATATGTTACTGTATAAATGATGCTGTCAATGTTGTAACCACATGTGACTAATGTGCAACTCTAAAATTATTTGTACATATGGATGTTATAAGTTTAGTGTAAATGCTATCAATATGTGTGAATGTATAAATGTAGTATAGTTATGTGCAAATAAAAGAACATGGCGAACATATAGTTATGGAAATCCAGGTCAATGGCGGGACCATTGCACAAAAAGTGGACTATGTTTATAGTTTCTTTGAGAAGCAGGTACGTGTGGATGCAGTTTTCCAAAAGGATGAAATGATTGATATAATTGGCAGGGGAGGATCTATGTACGAGCTATGGTAGGCTGAAGCCCGGGGCAACTTAAATTTTTTTCAATTTTCTTAGTGTAATTTTTTTCATTTTTCACATCCAGTTCACCCCTCTAATATTTAAGACTAGTATAATTCGTATTCAGCTCAAGGTATCTCAGATTTCTGGATCCGCCCCTGATAATTGGTGTCACCAAGGTTAAGGGTTTTGAAGGTGTTGTCACCCGTTGGGGTGTCACATGTCTCCCCCGTAAGACCCACAGAGGACTTTGTAAGGTTGCACGTATTGGAGCATGGCAGAGTATCCTTCATTGTTGCTCGTGCAGGTCAGAATGGGTACCATCACCGTACAGAGTTGAACAAGAAGGTGTATAAGTTTGGCAAAGTTGGACAAGAGCCCCAACAGGAGGGTTGTCACTCTTTGCCAATCATTGCTCACACAAACCACCCGCAGTGCTAATGAACAGATTAGCTTCAAGTTCATTGACACCTCCTCAAACACCGGGCATGGCCGTTTCCAAACCACTTATGGGAAGCAAAAGTTTTATCGTCGAGTCAAGGCATAGGCTGCACATTATTGTTAACTTTCCTCTTCCAAGACATCAATTTTTTGTTTTGTTGTTCTGGCTGTGGGCTATTTGTTTGGTCGTTGAAGAAATACATTTTTGTTTTTCAAGTCCCAAAAAGGTAGTAGGAGTGACCCTTGAAAGATGGAAGAAATGGAAGAAATATAAGGTAATGGTGCTCGCACAATAAGTACATGAGACATAAGTGGTGTGATTGAGAAAAGTTATTGTTAATTAAACATAAAAAATAGTCGTAAAAGCGAAATCAAAGGAAACTTAATCTATTGAACGTTACTTGGGGAGTTTTTTTAGAAATATAGAAAAAAGTACTAGAAGCGCAGTTATAAGTTGTCCCCTCCATGTCCCTCTGTCCCCTCCCCCCATTCATTTCATCTAATTGATGCATCACTCATTCTTCTATAATCTACACATGTCAAGTCACCGCAATTGTGACTTGCATCTTGATTCTTGAGATGTCACTCTCACTTTTTGTCTCATTGTCTCATTCTTTAAGAGGTCTTTTCTAGTATGTCACACATCCAACACAATATGCTAATTTGTGTGTGTCAATCACATTCAATCTTTTGAATGTAGCATTATTTACTATCTCACATCTTACGTCATATAATAGTGCAAGCCTTATTGTTGTCCGACAAAACTTACCCTCTAATCTGGTTGGTATATCTTGATTACAAGAAGTCCCGATAGACTTGCCCATTTCATCAATCTTGTTTTGATTCTATGAGATACATCTTCATCTAATTCACATTTAAATATATCTAAATAGGAATATGTTTCTACTACAAACAAGGATAGTCAAATTGGTCGGGTAGTGATCTACCACCATCAATGAAACTTTATTATAATCTCTAGTTATAATTCATATATTTGTTTTATCATATTCATTACTTTTGTGTAATCTCTACATATGTAAAATTTAATCATTTATATTAATTTAAATAATATTATGAAAAAGTTAACTTTCTCATTCCTTAAGCATCATACTTGAAAGGAAAGCTCACATAGTGGAAAGAGGGTGTCACAAAAAAGAGGTCTCAAGATCAGCAACAAGCAAAAACATGGGCTATAACCTCATTCTCTTTCCACTAATGCGTGAACAAAGTTAATTTACATTCTCCAAGATAACTCTTCGGTCGGTTCTAGGGAGCACCAGGGATGAGGGTCATCTTTTTGGAAACTAGAAAGACCTGAGATTTTAAAATGATGACAAGATCGACACGTCTCGTATTAACATTACCAGTTTCTAGGGCAATGAAACATGTTAAACTGGCTAAAATGGATGATGAATTTCTTGGTGACATTTTTGACACTTTTCATTCAAGATCTTGCTACTAAAATAGATATAGATTCTCTTATGATTAATTTGGTAAAGTAAAAGACCATCAAGTCCCGCTAACTTTTTAGCATGATGCAATACATTTTTAGTAATAATATTTGTAATGTACTTTACTTAATTTTGTTTCTTGTTTTTATGTTTTAAGAATTATATTTGAGATATAATAACTTTTAGCAATAACCCGGTCCATTCTCTTCAATGTTCCGGTTACACCCTTGTAATATATGCACATAGGTTTGCACGGATATATATGACCTGGATCGAATAAATAACACATAATATAAATACAT